GAGATAAAGTTGGTAGTATCTCTCCCAAAACCATGTTCAGGGGACCCACCCTCACGTTATTAGGGCTGATAAGCCAACTTCAGAGACCCTTTGCTCTGCTTGAGATCAGTTGAACAAAAGTAATGATAACGAGCGCAGCAGTTACTCCAGTCCCCTAGCCATGCCCACCTAGAAGAAGAAAACATCTTCTGTCATAACAGCTCAGTGTCCTTGGTTTTGTACTGTCAACAGCTTCAGATAGAGGGATAAATGAACACAGCCCTGTCAGGATATCCTGTCATTCAGTTAGGAAGGGTTTATTCAGCTTTGCAGTGAAAACTTTCGGCAAATACCCTGCGTTTTGGAATTTTTCCTGCCTGCAGGCAAGTTTCGCATGCTGTATCCTTCACTCATTTTCCTTCAGGAAGACAAGAGTCCTGTTCACCTAAGAATGCAGAAGAAATAGCACCTCTTACAAACGATCACTTTACATCAGAATTTTAGTTCTCATGTCTGGAGGGCTCTGAAGGAAAAAACATCAAATTCTTCACAATGGGAAAAAATCTAGTTGTTTTATTCTTTTTGGCTTCTTTGGCTGCAGTGAAATTGTGTTTGACATCAGAAGTCCCAGATGAGGTAAGAAGCAGCTTTCTATTTAAGTAATGAATTATTATATGTCTGTATTACACTATAGGTTTGGGGGTTGTTTCACTGTTACAGAGAGAATAGTTATCAGATACTGTATCTTATAGAAGAAAAACCCACTTTAACAGTCACTGATGCACATGACATTGAATTCTAAACTAAGAGCTCTGCAATTCAGTCCTCTGAAATAACAGAAATGCATCTGTTTGTTCCACATGAGAATTTGGCTCAAAGAGTATGTCATGAGTACACTGAAAAAGTCTCTAAAAAATGGCTAACAAAACACTGTAACTGACACATTCATCTAAAGCAACAACAGAAAATCATTAGAATTTCTGATAAGTCAGAAGATGAAAGCAGAAATTTTTCCATAGTGAAAATTATCCACTATACTAACCACAAGGAGAAAAAGCTATTTCAGATAGGTAGCAAAAAAAATTCTAAGGAATTGAGCTATTGGAAGTAATTGTATGAAGTTATGAATTTAAGTAAAAGATTTGTAGACTTCTGGGGAAGTGGCGCGTTTGTCATATACAATTCCTATGGACCTGTGGAATTTCACAAAATTTTCACCACCCTTACAGAGAAGCAGAAAGTGTTGGGTTAAAAATCTGAACCAAGAGTTCAACAGTGAGACTTTCGCTCATCGAAACCATCTCACAACATGAGGCTTTAAATTACTGCATTCTGGAGAAAAAAGACTTGTAGAAGAAGAAACAAAAGGACAGGGAGAAATTAGGGGGCGGGGGGGAAGGGAAGCCACGCAGGTTATTTTTTTTGTTGTTTGGTTGGTTAGGTTTTTTAAATGGAAAACTACTTTGAAAAGTACAAACAAGTACTAGGAAACATGTTAAACTTATTCTGTTTCTTAAAAAAGAGCGACTAACAAATCACCTTTCTTCCATTTTCTCTAAGAGAAAAAAAGGAAAATGAGGAAATGGGAGAAAGTGTTTTGTAGCTGGCGGA